GGGGCTTTAATATACTAGTATAATGCCTCCTGAGCAAGAAGAGCACATGTCATGCAGCCTGAAAGGGCATGTTTGTAATGCCACACCAACAACCACATTCACCGAGCACCATTCGGACACTTTTGGCCAGATTTGAAGAAAGTGTTCAACAATCCAAAATCAGTACCTAGTCCACCTCCCCTTAGCCCTAACCACTGCCTTCACCCTCCTAGGCATACTGTTGATGAGGCCCTTGCACACATCCGCCCCAATGCCATCCCATGTTTCTTGCACCCGCTCCCAAGTCTGGAGCATCCCCGTGGGGGGGTGCTCATACTTGGCGAGCTCCCTTTTGAGGTGTGCCCACAGGTGCTCGATGGGGTTGAGATCAGGGGAGGAGGAAGGCCACATGAGGACTGCATACGGCTGCTCAGCCAGCCATGCTTGCACAAGGCGGCTCTTGTGCTTGGAGTCGTTGTCATGCTGGAAAATTACATCCGAGGGGGTTAGACTATAGAAACCGATAGTTTGAGCAAGCTCATCATGTAAAATGCTTCTGTACAGCTCCCCATCCATGCGGCCGTCAATCTTACACATATAGCCAGGGCCATCATAAGTCATGCATCCCCATACCATCAATGACCCGCCCCCATGCTTGACGCTTTGCTGAATGTGGTGACATTGCATGGCCGCCCCGTCGCGTATCCACGCGTACTTGCGGCCATCACTGGAAAAGCGGTTGATCTTGGTCATGTCGGACCAGATAACCCGCTTCCAGTCTTCAATGGTCCAATCAAGATGCGCCTTGGCGAAATCGAGTCGGTCTCTGATATTTCGGGCAGATAGTCGCGGCTTCTTCGATTTCTGCACGGCTACTAAACCGGAGTTCTTCAGGGCGTTGCGCACGGTTCTAGGGCATATCTTGATGCCGCGCTCCGATTCTAGAAGTTTCGCGGCTTCTATGCTAGTATTCGCTCGGCCAGAAGTGACGGCTCGGACCAGAGAGCGCCTATCACGAACCGAGAGTATGCACGGTCGGCCGTTTCTAGGAACATTCGGCCTGACTGCTAGGCTGCTCGAGCGCTGGGAGGCTTCGTGAGCATATTTCTAATCCGTGCTTTTTCCTATTCCTAATGCTTTAGCAAATTGTCGAATACTCTAGCCCTGTCGATTAAGTGTCGCGATCCTATCTTTCTGGCTCGAAAGAAGCGGTCGCATCGTCGCTGGGGGCTTGGCGTAGTTGCCGCTGGACTATCGAGAGAAAAATGGCAGCGTAGGACGCGAGGTCGCGTAATGCAGGCAGGAAATAGATCTGGACGCGAAGTTGGCCTAAAGTGTCCGCATCGAGTAACGAACGCTTAATATTGTACTCTTTACAATAAAATCGATAAATGCTACAACACCCAAGTGCATTGAGTAAGTGACGTCAAGGGGCACAGTATGCAATATGTTATGGTTGTGTTATGACAACATATCCGGCCAAAATCACTAATTCTATGTACTGCAGTGGATTAATAAGCCCACTTATTTCCGTCACTGTAATATTTCTCTTGACCACAAACTTGCGTCCACTTCATCCATTATTTTATTGAGTGTTCTTGTCTCTGGTTTGTAAAGCATAATATTAGCAATATTGTATGACTATTATGGAGAATATACGGCCCACTTAGTTCTATTTTCCATGGTAGTGTGTCATTTATGGGCGGATAGTGAAGAAGGGCCACTAGCGAAAAGATTTACGAAAACCGAGGGGTTCAGTTGCGTTTGGGGGGTTGAAACATGTTTGTGCCTATGTGTCGCATTTTGAATGGTCGATACATCTTTCCATCGATCAAAATGGAAAACCTCGCAAATTTTGATGATTCATAACTGTTCGTAATGACGCAGATCAGAAAGATTACGTATTCTGATAGCACATTTTGTCTGTACAGATAAGCCGCCCAGTGTTGCCCATCTAGCATCAAAATACCCTTTTACTATCTGTAGGTCTGACAAGCTCGCCACTTTTGTCGATCTCTTTTTGCCACGCGTCAAGCGTGAGATGCGCGCTATTGAATTGGCGGCTGCCAAACCTCACACATTCCGCGAAAGTGTCGATTTCGCGCATCATTCTGATCGCTGCACCCTAAACCCTGAATCGCTGCATTTTTTATTCTGATGCTGCACCCCAGGAATATGACGATAGTAGTGCTGTTATTCCAGTATGCTACTTGTAAGGAAATTCCATTTTCCTTACTGGGCTCGACTACTGCGCGTATGCCCTCAACTCTCGAAAGTCCAGGCTCGGCCAACTTCTTCGGTCCCGAACCACTTCGCGAACCCAAACCTCGACGCGCAGCGCTTCCATGGCTTTTGCCAACCGAATCGCCCCAACCTGTTCGCGTGATTCTCGGCTAGCTCTGTTCGTGCCTATAAATGCCTATGCCCTCATTTGTATCGAGACTCTTAAATCACGACTCCATTATATTACACTACCTGTTATTACTCTGATTAATTTATAGCATCTGGTATCAGAGCCCCGTTCCTGCCCGCTCAGTCTTCCGTAGAGTAGTCCGATTATATCGGGAGAGGACCCGACAGAATAGAGGTTTGGCCAGCGGTTGGTAGGTGAGCTCATTAAAGCTCCTCCAACTAAATGCGTGTGCACCCTCAGATCTGTCAGGTAAAATTTCCAGCATGACTAGCACGCCGGAAACCTCTGCTCGTCGGAGTGTTAGGAACGTGACTCATGAGGAGTTTGGCGAGTTGCAAGCCAGGGCGGCTACAGTGTGGACACTGTAGGCCCAGCTTCAACAACTCGCGGACAAGTTCGAGTCGATGGGGAAGCGAAGTTCAGACGCTGCGCAACGAAAACTCGTCGCTTCGCCAGACGCGGGGTGAAACGCGTCAGGGGCGGCCTGTTACCCGAGACAAAGATGATGCGAGCGAAGCGAGGGCGTCGACGACACCTGAAGTTGTTGAAGAAGTCCACAGCGAGTTGCGGGCGGCCATTAAAGTCAAGCCTCCGATGCCCCCACCGTTCAACCCGACCGACAGGAGAACTACAGTGAGCGGGTGGCTGTTCACCATGGAAATCTTCTTCACGGCAGCAAGTATTAATGACAATGCATCACGTGTCAACTTGGCTTGTCGCTGCTGAGGGGACCGACACTCTACTGGTGGCGCATGCATCTAGACGAGGGAGGAGACCCGGCAGGGAATCAACAGGCGGCAGATGGGGAGATGAGTTCAACAACAGCGAAGGCAGAACCAATCTTTGGGTCAGCCACAATCCGCACGTGGAAAGCGTGGGGCGAAGTGTTGAAAGGCAGATTCGAGCACATATCCATGCGCGAAAATGCTCGCACAAAGCTTCGGATGTGGAGACAGTTGGGCTCTGTCCAAGAATACACGGCGTCGTTTCTGGCAATCTGCGACCAAATTGGAGGGATTAGCGAAGACGAGAAAATCGATTGCTACGTGGGTGGTCTCAAGTCGGAGATTCAACACGAGATTGTCCTGCGAGCCCCGACGATCTTCAACGAGATCGTTCGTATAGCAGACGCGCTGGACGCACGATGTGGACTCGCGAGAGCGGGTTTCCGGGAGGGAAATCTCTTTTGAGGCCATCCCCAACACACATCAATTAACGGCGTGGACGTGTTTGCAGCTTGAGTATTTTCGGGGACCTGCTTCCACTGCAACCAACCGGTCACATGGTGAGGGACTGGCCGCAGCTGAAGAAGAACTTACCTAACGACAAGAAGTAGTCGGGAAATGGAGATCGTCAGTAGCAGATGGGCCACCTACTGACTTGACTGCGTCGCCCAAACGCCACCACCCCCACCAGGTTATAGTGCCGGTTTGGGCAATCGACAATCCCTGGCTGAATAAGGGGGGTGAACCGGTTGATCACCCTGTGCCGGTTGAAGGAAGAGTTGGCGACACCCGCATTAAAATATTCGTTGATGGCGGGGCGAGCCACAATTTAATGGATGTGATGAAGGCAAAAAAAACTGCAACTGCAACTGGAGCGCTGCATGCCAAAAATCGACGCGAGATTGGTCGATGGTACACCACTGGCAATTCGGGAGCGAGTACCTCACGTGCGAGTAACATGCGGCGAAAATTTCAGCTTCACGATGAAGATACTGGTGACAACTTTGGACGGCTGCGACATGCTGCTGGGATGCGATTGGCTGTGCGAATACAACCCGAGCATTGACTGGCGGACGAGTGACTGTCGCATCAAATGGAGTGGCGAGTGGCGACGACTTCCCAAGTGGAGCTGTCGAGATTCCACGACGTCGACGGTCAGCGCGGTTACCATCAAGCGAGCTATGATTTGCAGGGCGCAACTGTACGCTGTCTGATGGATCGCATCCACGGCTGTTGACACACCAGCCGACATCGACAAACTCTGCGCAACTGTCTCGAACGATTTGGCAACGTTGATTCGCAAGCACGCCGACATTTTTCCAGACGACCTACCGGCGGGATTGCCTTCTTGGCGAGATCACGACCACAAAATCGAGTTGGAGCCAGGCGCGCAAGCGACTGTTCGAACTCAATGGAGGCTGACTCAGCCCGAGCTGGATGAGCTTCGATGCCAGCTGGACTACCTGCTCGAAAAAGGTTTCGTTTGCCCCAGCACTTCACCGTTCGTAGCTCCGATCCTGTTCACCCCGAAGAAAGATGGCGGTCTATGCATGTGCATCGACTACCGCGCCTTGAATCGGGTTACCATCAAGTCCCGCTATCCAATCCCGCGTGCTGACGAACTAATCGACCAGCTTCGTGGAGCCAAGTTCTTTTCAAAAATCGACCTGCGAGGCTGTTACCATCAGATCCGCGTGAACGAAGCTGACTGCTACAAGATGGCGTTTCGGACCCGGTACGGGAGTTACGAGTACACAGTTATGCCATTTGGCTTAACAAATGCGCCTTCGACATTCCAGTTAACCATGAACGAATTTTTTCAGCCGCTGCTGGATAAATGCGTCATCGTGTACCTCGACGACATCCTAATCTACAGCACAACTCGGGAACAGCACTTGAAGGATTTGGAAGCCGTTTTCTCTCTCCTGCAGCAGCACCGACTCATCACAAAAGGATCTAAGTGCGAGTTCCTAAAACAAGAGCTGGAGTTTTTGGGCCACGTCATTTCCATCAATGGTGTTAAAATCGACCCTAAGAAGATCGCGAACAGACAAGACTGGAAGCCGCCGGCTAATCTCCGAGAACTTCAAATTTTCATGGGATTTGTGAGTTACGTTCGCCGGTTCATTCCGGACATGGCGGGGGTAACTTCCCCTCTCACGGATCTCCTGAAGAAAGGCAAGTTTTATGAGTGGGGGGGAGAGCAGCAGGCTGCGTTCGAACAGCTCAACCTTTTCCTGACTACATCTCCGGCTCTTCGAATTGCAGATCCTCACCCTCCGTTCGAGCTCATCACCGATGCTAGCGACCTTGCTGTTGGCACATTACTGTTACAAGACTTCGGCGAAGGCCTTCAACCCATCGCCTACGAGTCACGAAAGCTGAACCCGGCCGAGCAAACTTATCCTGTCCACGACAAGGAGTTACTCGCCATCGTTCATGCTTTCAAGGTCTGGTGCTGGTACGTGACGGGCGCTGACGTGACAGCCAGAACAGACCACAAATTGCTACAGTTTATCCGCGCCCAACCGGCACTTAATCCCCGACAGATTCGCTGGCTCGATTACCTCGAGTCAAAATTCTACTACAGAGTCACCTACAAACGGGGGGTTAGCAACATCGCTGACGCGCTGACCCGCCCTTCAGTCCACACCGCCACAGTCCTAATTACCCAAGCTAATCCGCTGCTAACTGGCCTATTCACCCACGGATACACTACCGATCCGTTCTTCACCACTAACAGTCATCCCCAACTGACGGCCAAGCAAGGGGCCTATTACCTAAAATCCGGTACCAATCGGATTTGGGTTCCCGCCTACCGTACCCTACGCGAGCTACTGATACAGGAGGCACACGACTCGAATTTCTCGGGTCACTACGACATCGACAAAACTGCCAAATCACTGAGCCGTAATTATTACTGGCCCGATGTGCCGACAGACGTGCAGCAGTACGTCACCTCCTGCGCCACGTGTCAACGCATGAAGTCTTCACAGCTTCGATCTGCGGGATTGCTGCAGCCGCTCGAGCCACCCAGCCGACCCTGACAACAAGTGACGATAGATTTCGTCACTGGCCTGCCAGCTGGTTCAAGCGGTAACGACGCGATTCTCGTCGTCGTTGACCGGTTGACCAAGATGGTCCACTTCGCCGCCTGCAAGACGACAATCACTGCCGAGCAGACAGCAAAACTGTTCCTCACGAACATCGTGCAGCTACACGGCATTCCTTCGGCAATCATTAGCAATCGCGACCCTCGGTTCACATCCAACTTCTGGACAAAAACCTAGCAGCAGTACGACACACGTCTGCATCTGTCCACGGCATACCACCCGCAATCGGACGGCCAGACCGAGCGCACCAATCAGACGATGGAGCAGCTGATTCGCACGACGTGCACAGACCCGGCCCAATGGGAAGACTCCCTTCCCTTGATCGAGTTTGCGTACAACAACTCCCCAATAGAAAATCCGGCACCAAGTTCTCAGCAGTTCGTCAAAAATCTTGGACAGTCTCAGCAAAAAGCCGCCGATGCCATCCTCAAAGCCAACGGGCTAAGCAGCAAGCTGACCGACGACGCCAAGACTTAACTCTTGCCCCTGGGCAATTGGTCCTGCTCGACACCAGAAATTTGGGAATTCCCCTCCCAAATAAACTACGACCAAGATTTTGCAGCCCATTCCGCATTATCCGCATGGTGACAACAGTCACCGCCCAGCTGCAATTGCCGGTCGACTGGCGAATTCATGATTCATTTCACGTCAGTCTCCTGCGACCGTTTGTCCCGAGCACAACTAATCTCGATCGTCAACATATCAATCATACGGTCAACCCAGTACCTGAGCCGACGATCGAGCCATCGAAGATTTTTGCTCATCGCGTGCGAGGTCATCGAGAAACGGCAGCCGTTGATTTCCTTGTACGCTGGGTCGATCGCACGACTGACAACGACCTTTGGGTCCCCGCAGCTATGCTCGACAAACACAAAGTCGTCCGGGACTATTTACACCGACGACGTGTCCCGGATGTGGGTAGTCTCATCCCAGAAGGGGGGGTGGTGTAAGGAAATTCCCTTTTTTTTACTGGGCTCAACTACAGCATGTACGGCCTCGACTCTCGGAAGTCCAGGCTCGGCTAACTTCTTCGGTCCCGAACCACTTCGCGAACCCAAACCTCGACGCGCAGCGCTTCCGTGGCTTTCGCCAACCGAATCGCCCCAACCTGTTCGCATGGTTCTCGGCTAGCTCTGTTCGTGCCTATAAATGCCTAGACCCTCATTTGTGACGAGACTCTTGAATCACGACTCCTTTATTACACTACCTGTTGTTACTCTGATTAATTCATAGCACTACTACTGATTCCCTTTACCACAAAAAGTATAGAGCCAATACCCCCTCAACAAATATTGCTTGAGAAGGAAATATTTTATGCCTGATGAATGCTACCGTAATCCTCCGTATATAACACCCGCCGAAATAGTCACTCCGTGGGTGGTTTATGCGGGGGAGAGCTTATGATAGGGTGCATTTTGGAGAGCACCCGCTTTTCGGGGGTTGCATTTTACATAACACCTTGCTCGTTTTATGCAGCAAAGAACAGTATTCCGTCGTTTTTCAAGCTCTTCTCGATAGAAAAAGACAAGCAGGATGAAAAATGCAATGTCAACTATCATTAGCAGCAAAAAAAACGGGCAGAAGAATCAACACAAGTTGCAGCGCGAAATGGAAACGTCAGCGAAGGTTGAGATTTGGGAGGATTTCAACCGTTGAAGTCACGGATTCTGCTGTGATTTGACGGTCAAAATCCTCCCGATCGAAATCCTCCCAGGTCTTGACGGTCGCAGTGTTAGAAGACTAGCTTAGCTAGAAAGGTAGGCGGCCATGAAATGGCGAGAGGTTTAGGAGCTAGGAGAGGAAGTTTACGAGAGAAAAAAGAGGTGAGACTAGGACGAGAGAGGCATTCAAAGAGCAAGTTGTACCCTCTACAGTAGGATCCAGCAAGACCTACCAAGCCTACAATTATATACCTATAAAATATAATTTAACACACCCCCTAGGCTTGGTAGTCACAAACCCACCCCACATGCAACACCTCGAAGCCTAACACCCCCATACCCTGCAGCAGAGGTGACTGTAAGGAAGGAGGGCGCTAGGCCTTCTTGAGTTGCGGCGGGGCGGAGCCAGCTGGCGTGGCGAGCTGGGACCGACGTGGCGAGCTGGGTCCGCTGGGACCGACACAGCGAGCTGGGTCCGACACAGCGAGCTGGGTCCGACGTAGCGAGCTGGGTCCGACGTAGCGAGCTGGGTCCGACGCGGCGAGAAGGGTCCAACACGACGAGCTGGGGAGGTGCGGCGAGCTGGAGTGCGGGCTTGCTGCCTGGGGCCTAAACCAGTGCGCGGCCCACTGCCGCCCGTGCGCTGACGCGATGACGGCGGCACGGCGGCACGACGAAGCCCTGAGGCACGGCGATGTGACAGGGCCGCGGCGTGACGGGGCCGGCGCGGAGGGACGGGGCCAGCACGGCGTGACGGGGCCAGCTCGGCGTGACGGGGCCAGTGCGGCGTGACGGGACCAGCGCGGACTGACGGGGCCAGCGCGGGTGAAGGGGCCAGCGTGGCGTGACGGGGCCAGTGCGAAGGGACGGGGCCGGCGCGGAGTGACGGGGCCAGCGCTGCATGACGGGGCCAGCGCGGCATGACGGGGCCAGCGCGGCATGACGAGGGGGGGGGAGTACGCTGCGGAAGCGTGAGGAGAAGGCCCGAGCGAAAGGGGCCTGCTCTGAAACCATGTTAGAAGACTAACTTAGCTAGGAAGGTAGGCGGCCATGAAATGGCGAGAGGTTTAGGAGCTAGGAGAGGAAGTTTACGAGAGAAAAAAGAGGTGAGACTATGAAGAGAGAGGCATACAAAGAGGGAGTTGTACCCTATACAGTAGGGTCCAGCAAGACCTACCAAGCCTACAATTATATACCTATAAAATATAATTTAACACGCAGGTGCGGCACGAAGCTGGCCCAGACCACAGCACTCAGCAGGGATTGGCCAATGACGCATGGTTCGTCCGTTTTGTCTCAGCGAATGCCTCGTTAACAGCCGCTCCGCGCAGTTGTGAGCTAACATGGCCTGGAACACTCACATTCAAATTGCATTTTACATAACACATGGGCACTATATTTTTCCGGGCCACTGTTAAGACCCTGTCATTTTTTTAGTGAATTTTTATATACACCATAGGGTGTTATATACGGGGGATTACGGTATGTGGCGGATGGCTCAATTGATGTTGGAAATATCTCAAAGGACTTAAGCGTTTCTGAAGTGTAACACTACACTCAAGGAAGATCGCAACGGGTACGCGAGTCAACGGAGGTTACACAAGGGGGCGGACAAAGAACGCGAAGGAACTTGAAGGGTCGCAACTGGAGGTTGCGACTGACCGTTACAACAGCGCGGATGGTAACCGAAGCGACAATCGAGTCGCTGTGCGACTCGATAAACCGCTCCTGTAACTGTATTCTACAACTGCTTTACTTTCCTATTTTTCTATATATTGCTGTATGCTTGTTTCTTTTATCAATTACTTGTTCTCATATACTAGTACAAGGGTTCAACTACCTCAACTTCCGCTGCATTACTCAAGCCTGCTACAACTGGGACTTAGTCTCTGGAAAGATCCTAAGGGCTTTTCTCAGCCCAACATGGTATGAGAGCTGGTCAGAGACCAAACTCCCAGCAACTACGCTCTATCTACAATCTGCAATTCAACGACTTCATTGATTACAAGTCATGGATAACAAGGGCAAGAAGACCTCTACGGGCTCACCCAGTGCCCAAGACACTCAACACGGCAACTCTGGGCTGCACACTTCAGGACTGCAGACCGAGACCGGCGCTGCTCAAGAGACAACAGGAAGAACACCGGAAATGGTGACCCCATCACCGTCTTCAAGCGTCGACCCAAACCTTATGGAAAGGTTCTTCAGCTTCATGTCGCACTTCGACCAGCAGCAGCAGACAAGGACACCTGCTCATTCAACACAGAGCAACGGAGGAAACACGGGATTAGCGCCGATGAGCCTCGACAACTCATCGTTCGGGCGACACAATCAAGCTCCTACCTTTGCGCCTTATCACTCTTCACCGGGGACGTTCGAGTTTATGCCGCCCCGTGCCCAACCAACAGCAGCTGCATCACAACAAACACCAAACGAGATTTTAAGTCTCCAGGCGCAGTTCTCACACGTGATTAAACTGCAGACATCATCACCATTCAACGGACACGATTTCTTTACCTGGAATTTTGAGTTCGAGCTGCTGATGGAGGCTGCGCATCTCCTGGGATACTTCAACGGGTCCCTGCCATTCCCAAGCAACGGCACTGCAAAGGAGCAAGAAATATTTACTTATCAGTCGCTGCTGGCGTACACAGTTCTCCTGCGGAACCTGTCACCACAAGAACAGCAGAGCATCAGAACATATCGGAGCTATGGAAACTCCGCGGAACTCGCATGGCATCATCTCAAGTGCCTCTATCAAGCAAACGACAGCGTGACACAAAGCAGACTCATGCAACAACTGACAACAATACAGATGAAGACTGGGGAAAAGGCGATGCAGTATATGAGTCGCTGCCAGACCCTCCGCGACTGCCTGCTTCGGTGCGGAGGAACAATCACTGAGGAAAGCTTCGTAACGCTTGTCCTCGCCGGGCTCGGACCAGAATGGAGAACCACACGCTCGCTTCTTCGCGCCCACGGAAGGATCTCGGAGATGCACCTCTGCGCCGAGCTTCATGCTGAACAACAGGAGATGGACCTGTTCGAAGAAAGACAACCAAGGAAGCAGCAGCAGTTAGTTTTCTACACTCAACGAAGGAACGACAACAACTACAATCGACGGGGCAAGCAAGATCAACGCGACAACAGGGGACTTACCTTCGTGCCGCCGTTCTGCCACAACTGTCAGACTTCCGGACATTCCAAAGTCAACTGCACACGTCCTCGTGTCTATCGTCCAGTAGACCCACACGTCGCCTCCACTCAAGAAAGCCCTCCAAGGCGCTCTTCCACATCTGCACAAGGAACACCAAACATCATTAACTGCATGGTACACATCGACAACTGCGCACCCGGATCACCACCCACCTACGCACCAGATGAAGAAGAACTTCCACCGCCGCGCTCACAAGGACTTCAGGTCAACCCGACATACGCTGCAGTCGCCAACGCCGAACCCACCGGGCGAAACACCTGGTTCTTGGACAGCTGCTGCGGTCAACACATGTGTTCTTCAGGACACTTCGTGCAACGAGAGCGACGCCTCAACCGCGACGTCATCATCACCGTCGCCAACAACGAGAACCTGAAAACAAACAGACAAGGCGTGGTTCAGTTACAATCCATGGAGACAAATCTTATACTTCAACTCAACAAGGTCCTCATCGTCGACAACTTGGGATACAACTTACTAAGCGTAAGCCAGCTAATGGCAAAAGGGATTCACCTGGAGTGCGACTCCTACTCCAACGAGTTTCGCCTTTACCACGGGAAGGGCGGTCTCTTCATCGGTCGCGCTCTCCTGAAGTCCGGCGTCTTCGTGTTGGACTTCGTCCCTGACCGCGGTACTGCCGATAGCGACGGAATCGTGTCGTTCGCCGCCTGGACACACCCGCCGGATCTTGACCCCGACTTCGACCCTGATGGATTTTGGCACTCCAACACCATACCTGCAGCAGAGAGAACACGAGCATTAGCAGTCATCAGACAAGAAAGACAAGTACCAGCCAGTGTCCCTTCCCAACCATCACCTGCAGTAGCAGCAGCAGAACCCAGCCGAGCACCACCACCAGCAATCCGAGGACCGCCAACCGAAGCAGATCAACTTATGCCCATCACACGAGAAGCCTGTCGAAGTCCCACCACAGTCGCCGCGTTCTTCTCCAACACCGACATATACCACCGCTCGCCCGGCCATCGCGCTCCCGACGACATCTGGCACCAACGACTCGGGCACCCTGCAAATAGTCCAATACTGCAAACCATACAAGCCGAAGTTTTAGAACGCAACGCTCTCCTAACAACGAGCGGTCAAGAACTTCGACGACCACGCGCACGGTGCTTCACGTGCCCCGAAGCCGATCTTCCCCACCAGCCTTTCGCATCTCATCACAACCCAAGCGCACCTGCATACGCAACGATGGAAAAAGTCTACAGCGACATTCTAAACATGCCTCGAGAAGACGCTGAAGCAGACTTCAACTATGTCATCACGTTTATCGACGCAGCAACAAGATACGTCTGGCACTACAACCTCAAGACGCGCGACCAAGCCTTCGACGCCTTCACGACATGGCTACCCATCGCCGAACGAGAATCCGGAACCAAGCTCAAGAGCTTCCAGTCAGACGGTGCACTGGAATACCAGTCACAACGCTTTAGGACCTATCTGGCGGAAAGAGGAATCAGACGCCTGGTGTCTCTGCCCTACGCTCACCAACAGCAGGGGGTCGCAGAACGCATGAACCGGACCTTGCAGACGACGATGCAAAAGCTGCTCCTGGGGATGAGACTGCCCACCACACTGTGGCCAGACGCGATGACACATGCAGTCCACCTGCACAACCTGTTGTCCTCGTCATCGCTTCCCAACAACGCATCACCGCACCTGCTGTGGACACAAAAAAGGGACAGCACAAAATTACTTCGCGTTTTCGGCTGCATGGTACAGTACAGACCCCACACAGCCCGAGCAGGACGCTTCAATCAACGAGCTCGGTGGGGACTACACCTCGGCATCGCAAAACATTTTCACGCATGGAAAATCCTCGACATACAAGACAAAAATACAGTGGCATCACGTGACGTTATCTTCTACGAGCGACTGACGCTGCAGCATTACCTGGACAACATTGCCAACACACACGACCCCACCGACGGCTTCGCGGGTCTTCGTTCCTTCGCCGACCGTGCTGCCGAAGCTGACGCAGCAGAAGAAGACGTACCTGGAGCCTCGGAAGCTGCCGGACCACTCTCTTTCTGTTCCGTACCTGTTCCACTCGACGAAGACAATCCCCTCGATAGCAACAACCTCGACACATTTTACCACTTCGCTGACCAAGGTTACATTACACCCCACCCGGTCGACACAAATATTTCAGAACGCATCGGCCCCAACTTCTTACCTGATCCAGAAGACGGTGACGAAGCAGCCTATTCCGGGAATGAAAATTCCCCTCGACACACACCCACGGGACTGCAGATACTCGGCCTATGGGTCTCCGTCCAGCATCCGCCGCCGCCATCTCCGCGCGAGCCCCCGACTCTGTCGCAGGCTCTGGGGGGGGAACATAAGGCGAAATGGAAGGAGGCGATGGAAAAAGAGTTAAAGGCTCTGCAAGACCGAAATACATGGAAGCTGGTACCTGCAACAAGCATCAACGGGAAGAACGTCCTCTCGGGAAAATGGGTGTACCGCATCAAGACCAATGCCGACGGTTCCACCGAACGATTCAAAGCTCGATGGGTCGTACGAGGGTTCGATCAACGATACGGAACCGACTCTAGGCGACTATCGCCTCCGGCGCAGCGAAAAGTATTTAGAAATACTTGTGCAAATAGCCTCAAGGGCCTTGCCTCATAATCTGATCTCAAAGTGGTTGCAAGTTGTCAATACACACAAGCATTCCACTAGTTCCAATGAGATACAAAGCACACAAGAGTATACTGATTTATAGGCAAACAAGAAAGAACAAACGCGGTTCGTAACTGCCGTGTGCGCTGCGAGTAACTTGCGCGCTTCGTGTCATGCCGAGTCGCACACGCAATCGCGACTTTCTTGCTGAACACGCCACTGGCCCGAAGTCCGAATGCTTGTTGAACACGCCCCGTCTGAAACCCAACTTTTGCCCCACGTCAATCTGTTTCTCGCCACTTCCATTCCTTTCTTCCACTCAACCACCATTCTCCTTACTTTCCACCAATCTTCTCTCTTTCTTCTCCCCTTTCCGTACACCTCACGCTCACGCAATATTCCCCATTTCCTAGTTCCTTCTCGTCCCAAGTCCGCACGTCTCTCCTCGTCACCCCAAGTCACGAGTAGTCCGTCGTGGGTGGCGGAACCACTCCAACAACCTCCCCTGTGGTTCTGTCAACCACGCACCTTCCATGTGATTGTCTCTTCTAGTGCTCCCCTGCATTCTCCATCCTCGCACTCTAAGTCAGCTCCATACTCCCCTGCAACTGCTTGGCTTTCTGCTTCTGCTTACCAGGCTTGAATGGATAACTCTGAACCCTCAGATGAGGATTGGTCTGCTTCTTCTCCTTACTATACTCCTCGCCCTCAGTAGAGTCTCCAATCTCTCTTGCCCATTCTAGGATACCCTCACAATCACAGAACAACTCGTCGCTAGCCCGTACTATCCATCCTTCCTTACTGACCTCCAAAATCTTACCAAACCAGTTGATAGTCGTTACTGTCTGCTTCTTTCCCTCGGGTTCCTCAGACTGCTCTATCTCCTCTTTCCTTGTCTCTGCTGCTGCCTGCTTCTGTTTCTCCTCCCATCCTGTTTCTCCAACCTTTGCCTCCACTCTGTTGGCCATCATCGTGCTTGTTGCGAGATCTCCAGCATCCTGCTTCTTAGCTGCCTCAGCGCCTGTCTCCTCCCGTACAACCACAGCTTCGTTGCTTATGTTGTCCTCCTCATACCCATCCGTTACTAACAGCTTCGGCATAAAATCCATCTCGTAGAAACCCCGCTTCAGCTTCCCGTCTGCAACTACTTCCCACGTTGGACCAAATACTGTAACCTTGCCCTGGTCGTTGAGCACCTTACATCCCAATGCATCCATCTGTGACTGACTAATCAGATTCATGGATAGGTCCTTCACCAGCAGTACTCCTTTCAGCTTCAGTTCCCCGAACCTGCTACACAGTAGGACGTCACCTTCTCCAGTGACGGGTAACTTTGTGCTATCTCCCAGCAGTATGAACTTCTCACTCGACTCTCTCACATTCTCCAACCAGTCTGACCTGTTCGTCATGTGTTGTGTACAGCCACTATCGAAGTACCAGCCGTGGAGCTTGAACCCGTCAACTTGCAGGTTTGACACACGCGCAATGTTCGCCCGATGTGCGCCTCCAAGGATAATATCCCCTTTCTCCTTCTCTGCTTCCATCACGTTCGCCTTCGGTGCATTCCGCTGCTGATGTGCTGGACCCCTGTAACTCTTGCTGTTTGGATTGGAATAGCAATCTGCTGCCCTATATCCGTACCTCCCACAAAAATCGCAGGTGCCTCCAAACCCCTTCCGTTGCTGCCAACCTTCTCCGTCGCTTGCAGCTTCCTTCCCCTTATAGTTCCTGCTCTTGGGATTGTCGTAGCAATCTATCGCCTTGTGCCCTTTCTTACCGCAGTGGTAACAAGCACCACTAATCCTCCAAGCCGCTGCTGCATTCACCATCCCCGGCTTCTCCTGCCCACCATATGCAGCTTCCGTCTTCCCCTTGCTCGCTATCTTCATCGCCTCAATCGACTGCAGCTTGTCCACTAACTGCGTCATGCTCTCTGGAGGGTGAAGAACAAGGCCGCTCTTCTCTGTTGCCCACGTCTCGGGTAGTCCACTCGCTGTGTGCTCGATCATCTGCTCCTCGTTCTCAGCATCTCCCATCGCCGCTAGCTCATCGTTGAGGCTGCGTGCTCTGTTGACGTAGTCGATGATCTTCTCATCCTCTCGCATGCTGAGCAACAACAACTTCTTACGTACAGCAGACTTGTTAGCGTTGCTTGGCCTAAGATACATGCTCTCCAAACATGCCCAGGCCTTCTCCGCAGAATTCACCTCACGCTTAAACGGGTCCAAATTGACGGCAATACCGTCAGAAACTGAGTGACACAACTGAAAAAACGCTTGCTTACTCTTCCTTCTGAATTCTGCAATTTTCTCCGCCGTCTCCGTCTCAGTAGGAGGTACTCCCTCCCCTGTCTCCTTGTCCGGCGAGTAGTAGGGCCAAAGGTCCACCTCCTCCGCCCTTCGACTGAACTTCAAGCGCCACGTACTGTAGCTGCTTCCATTGAAACGTTGGGCCTCGCTGAGCCCAATCGTCGGTTTCACCACAAATTGCCCCCTCGACAGGGCCTCCAGGAGAGCTCTCATCTGCGGGTCTCCAATGCTCACACTGGATCCCGAACTAACCTCGTCACCCGCCATGACGTAGGCTTAGGCTCCTCTCCTTTAACTCCTCTGCTCTACTTAGCGCACTAAGTAGACTCCACGCAGAAAAATTCGCCAGCAATTCAACGCTAGCTCTGATACGAGTTCTAGGCGACTATCGCCTCCGGCGCAGCGAAAAGTATTTAGAAATACTTGTGCAAATAGCCTCAAGGGCCTTGCCTCATAATCTGATCTCAAAGTGGTTGCAAGTTGTCAATACACACAAGCATTCCACTAGTTCCAATGAGATACAAAGCACACAAGAGTATACTGATTTATAGGCAAACAAGAAAGAACAAACGCGGTTCGTAACTGCCGTGTGCGCTGCGAGTAACTTGCGCGCTTCGTGTCATGCCGAGTCGCACACGCAATCGCGACTTTCTTGCTGAACACGCCACTGGCCCGAAGTCCGAATGCTTGTTGAACACGCCCCGTCTGAAACCCAACTTTTGCCCCACGTCAATCTGTTTCTCGCCACTTCCATTCCTTTCTTCCACTCAACCACCATTCTCCTTACTTTCCACCAATCTTCTCTCTTTCTTCTCCCCTTTCCGTACACCTCACGCTCACGCAATATTCCCCATTTCCTAGTTCCTTCTCGTCCCAAGTCCGCACGTCTCTCCTCGTCACCCCAAGTCACGAGTAGTCCGTCGTGGGTGGCGGAACCACTCCAACACCGACTACACAGAACATTCGCCCCAGTCTCCCGTCACACCTCATTGCGCATCCTACTCGTCGTCGCGGCCACGAAGAAACTACCACTGCGCCAAATCGACGTCGCAAATGCTTTCCTGTACGCACCTGTGGACGCTGAGATCTTCGTCGAACAACCCCACGGATTCATCGACGACCCCACGAAAGTATGCCAGCTGATAAATCCCTATACGGGATCAAGCAAGCCCCGCAGCTCTGGCAGCAGCATCTTCACGGTCGCCTCGCAAAAATCGGATTCCTACAGCTGCCGCATGACCAAGGCATGTACCGACTGCAAAAGGGAAAAGAGTATATCCTACTCATCGTTTACGTCGACGACCTGCTCTACATCGGTTCCACCACCGACATCGCCACCTGGTTCGAAGGGGAGCTGAAAGAAGACGCTCACGGTATCCGACGCAGTGACCCAGTACCTGGGACTGAATGTCGTCGAAGACAACTCGGCGTTCTACCTACACGCTGGAAAGTACGCAGGCACCGTCGCGAAGAAATTCGGTCTAACACCGACTACGATCCCAACTCCCTACCGCTACGGGAACAACAACAGCACCTCCGCAAAACTCCCCGCGAAGCAAATCCAGGAGTATCAACAGAAACTCGGCTGCCTACTATTCGCAGCAGTAACCTGCCGACCCGATCTCTCCTACAGCGCGAGCCAACTGGCGACGCATCTGAAGCAGCCGGAACAAGAAAATCTCGAGGAGCTCAACCGGGCACTACTCTACTTCGTCTCCACGCCGACGACCGGACTTACCTACAGCAAAGTAACCACACCGTCCGTACGACTACTCGGATACGTCGACGCCGACCACGCGGGAGACAAGGAAAATCGACGATCGAGAACGGGCTACATCTACCGACTAGAACCTATCGGGACTATTTCCTGGCAGTCAAGCAAGCAGGAACTAATCGCACTATCTTCGGCTGAAGCAGAATATATCGCCCTATGTACTGCGACCAAGGAATGACTCTACCTACGAGAGTTGCTAGAGGAAGCGAAGATTGCGACCCTGCCCGCCTTCTCACTCCTCTGCGACAACCAATCAGCGATCAAAATCGCAAACAAGGACGGCTTCGCCAACCGAACCAAACACATCGCCCTGCGGTACTTCTTCGTCAAGGATGAAATCGCGAAGGGGAGACTTCAACTCAGTTACTGCCCTACGACAGAAATGGCCGCAGACTATCTGACGAAGAAATTGGCGAAGGTGAAGTTCGATTACTGCATGCTGCTGACCGGGCAGACAAACGTCACCGGATCCGAACACGTCAGCACTCCAGAAACGAAGGGGAGTGTTGGAAATATCTCAAAGGACTTAAGCGTTTCTGAAGTGTAACACTACACTCGAGGAAGATCGCAACGGGTACGCGAGTCAACGGAGGTTACACAAGGGGGCGGACAAAGAACGCGAAGGAACTTGATGGGTCGCAACTGGAGGTTGCGACTGACCGTTACAACAGCGCGGATGGTAACCGAAGCGACAATCGAGTCGCTGTGCGACTCGATAAACCGCTCCTGTAACTGTATTCTACAACTGCTTTACTTTCCTATTTCTCTATATATTGCTGTATGCTTGTTTCTTTTATCAATTACTTGTTCTCATATACTAGTACAAGGGTTCAACTACCTCAACTTCCGCTGCATTACTCAAGCCTGCTACAACTGGGACTTAGTCTCTGGAAAGATCCTAAGGGCTTTTCTCAGCCCAACAATTGAGTTATCTTACAGGCATCATAATCATGCTGTATAAGGATCAAGTATATATATCTGCAGCTGGAGACTCGACTACCACACCAGCTTCATGTGGAAGAAGGGGCTTGCTTCTTTCCCTTCCTCTTCAATCTCTTCCGCTCCTGCAGGCACTTCAATACTTATAAACAATCCCTGGCTTGGCAATAACGAATAGATAGATACCTAGTCCAGTCCTTACCACAGCCAAGAAGTATATGAATGTCACAGCAAACATGACAATGAAGATGTACTGGAACAAGTTAAACCTGCAGTGATTCAACAAAGTACCAGATGTATCCCGTTAGTGCAAAAGCAAGGACATGTACAATCACAGGAGTCTTCAGAAAAGGATACAGCACTACGTACACGTATAAGTAGCGTATCCCTTGCAGGTTTTCTAGAGTATGACCAAATATCTCCTGCACGGCTGTTTCTTGTGCATAGGCAGCAAAGGCTTTTGCACAAAATTGTATTGCGCTGCGGCGACAGGAGTGGACAGAGTCAGCTAACGAACAGTGTGCACAATCAAGTAACTGTGTGTGTGCCTTACCTCGTTGCGCAGCAAAGTATGAGGGCCACATTAAACAAGAAAGAGCTCATAAGGGTAGCATTCCACCTGAGAACATGACATAGGTAAGTCCATCCAAAAAGCAATGAATTATCTTTAGAGGTGGAGCTTTTCATACCTCATAGGATGAATCGACAACAGTAGAATGTTGAGACCAAGATACATCTCTCCGGACATTACAGCTAGGAAGAGGTAAAAGCAGAAGACAGAAAATGCTCCTGTTCCCAGCAGTCCTGCAGGTGAAAAGTGTATGAGAGTGGGGGTGCTCGTTTTACAAACGTACAAATACCACAGGCACTCACCCCACCATCGATCAAGCATTATGAAAAAACTGTTGAGGAAAGCCGATGCTGGAGGCTGTATGAGCATATAAATGATAATATGCACAATCCAAGCCACAGAAATGCCAAGCCTGCAGAGCCGGTAAACAAACTTGAGATACATGATGGGCAGATAAAAACTCAACCAGGCCAATGATCTCACCCGATGATTCCAAATATAAGTTTCCCAATGTAAACAAATACTGTCATAGCCCAGAACATCTCTGCTTCATCTCCTTGGGGAAATCTTTCTCGGAGCTCAGCTTCCTCCTCTTCCAAATGGAAAAGCGCCTGTTTCAAAAACATCATCAGTTCAAGGACTCGGGCACTTCTGACATCGCAACCTTACCTGCTGCAGCTTCTTTGCATTCCGCCTCCATGCCCAAGTTTTGCTGCCACTTCTCTCCTCCTGCTGGAGAGTGACAGCTAGTTCATGTATCTCCTTGGCCTTCTTCCCAATAGCCGTGGCTTCCTGCATCAGCGTTCTGTCATGTGAGGAGAACCATAAAATTGGTCCAACTTACCAACATTTTCACTCGCTGGTACCTTAATGTATTCAGAACGGCTTATTGTAGCCCTTGGCCGCCTCAGAAAGGAAAGAATTGATGAAAGTGGCAAGGTGGCTATGCCAACGCCACCAAAAATCTGAATGAACGCAGGCATCAGTCAAGATGAACATTTGATAGGCGCAAATCTTTACACTTACAGAGAATAGGAGAGACCCCAGTATCGTAAATAGCGCAATAATGTACTTCGAAAACGAGACCCTCAGTGTCCATGTGGTCTTGGATCCTTGAGGAGAAGAATATGAAGAACACTGGTTTCACAGGAAGAACAAATTAGCTGTATCCCACAGAATGAAGAAAGGGTGAGATGACGACCTCACTCACCGCACCCAGACCAGTATTATACAAGGAAACACAAGAAGCCTGACTACTAAGCGCGCTAAAGTCTTTTGTCATAGGGATAGTCGCAGAGACCAGCCTCTTCACAGGATACTCTACGTAACCAACAAATCCTGAAATGCGATTAGCACACAACCCAGTCAGTGAGAATTAGGTCGCGCAGAGAACAAATTCTACTACTATCGAACGGCTTACCGTAAAGAACCCCAAGGAGGCCCCCGAAAACAAACACTGACAGCAGACACCACAAGAGCGCATGCAATACCCGTTTTCCGGTACCCCTGCAGCAAGGCGAGAGCTCAGAAGAGTCGTCCAATGTGAGCCAAGATATAGTACCTGACGTATGGCCTCTTCAACTTACTTTTCTTCATCGTCCTCGTACAAGAAAATGGAGAATGGGATGATGACGAAGACCATGACACATATTGCAATCCAAAGGATGTACCACAAAGTTCTCATGGGCAGAGTCTCAGAGCAATCTCCGTTCACAAAGCCATTAATGCAGCTTTGCCTGTTCGAAACGTCCGCAGGAAGCATGAGAACTGAAAGTTGCGCAAGCGTAAGACCAATGACCTGTGCAAGGCAATCCAAGGCGTTGTATGAACATCACGCTTCACCACACGCCCAACGCAACGGTGAGCAAAATAAAAGAGAAAGTCACGATCCGATAGAGATCTACGTATAGGTGAGGCATGTGCCATTGACTAGATATTCTATGAAACCAGGTCAGGCCTACCACGACAAGTTTTGGGAAGTAGGCTTGGTTTGAGTCATCCGGATGTTGGTAGTTAACAAGGAGATAGATACTGACGGCGATGGAGAGCAATGATACAACGATTGCTACGACAAGCAGCGCAATGTTGAGGTCTCCCATGACTGGTGAAACGAGGATTTCGCAAAATCGTCGATACTACTTTCTGCCCAACTTCGCTTCTGGTGCTGGTGGATGGCAATGGGATGAGCAGGCTGTCTGGGCAGTCAATTGAGTTCGTTGGTGAGGGAGGGAGGAGCACCCGTTTCAGCAGATGAATCAGTCCACTGAAGCGATTCGTTCGCCCCCGTTATAGAGCACGAGCATGGTGTTGTTGAGACGACAGTCTACCAGTGCTCACCCAGCTAGTCCTACAAAGTGTTCTGCATGGAAGGACCACTCTGCAGTATTCTGAATTTTAAAAGTAGAAATTCGCCTATTTATACTATTGTACTGTAATTTTCGAGAGAATATCGGATAATATATATACCATCTATAATATTATGCAGCACTTCTATATATTGAAATTTATATAGAGTTCTAAAATAGCACAGTATTCATATTTCGAACCCAATAAACATTGTCCAATCCTTGTATCCCCAAATTATATTTCAATGTGTTGAAGGATGCTTTACTACACAATGATCTAGATATCATCCACAAATCCTCGTGAAAAGAAAGCGTCTCCTTGGCGAGGATTTCCATCACGTTCCCAGGTTCGACGGATCGGGCAGGTGAAATCTGAAAGCTGAAGCTTGCTTGACGGTGTGCTTGGCGGCGACTGCGGCTGTGCCGTGGATGAGTTTGGAACAGGCGGAGAATGTCCGTCAAGTCTGTGTCCGTTGCTGGGGAATGTTTTTTCGTGTCAGTCAGCGGTTCGATTTGCCATGCGTCAGTGGTACCCGACACGGATGACACGAGGCGGCGCGTCGAAATCGTCGGCTGGCGGGGCGGGCGGGTGCCGTTGAGGCTCAGCCAGCGCCAGCCGCTTCGTGTGGTGGTTTCGTTCAGGAGGGACATTCGACATGTGCCCCACAGCATGCCATTCCGTGCCAAACCAGCTCATGCGAGGTTTGGCTGGCTGTGTTCCGCCAGGGCACACAGCACGGCGGGGTTCTGCGGTTCGGTTTGGGTGGTTCGGGGTGAGGCACACATCATGGCGTGCGTTGACCCTCCCGCCATCTTGCCGCTTGCTGCCAAGCAAACGCCCCAGGGAATGGTTGCTCTGGCATCTCAGCCGAAGTGAGGGGAGTCGAGCAGAATGTCAAATTTCCACATTTTTTAGCACTCGCGTTTCCAACAGCAAGAGCTGGATGAAGCCTTCCATGCTAGCAAATTCAGCTTTACTACAGTAGTCAGGTTGTATGGCGCATTAATCGTGTAGCGTGGAGTATCGACTAGCGACGGAATTGATCCGAGAGAAGAGCTTCTATGCTAGCTAGGAAGCGATCGATTAGCATCAGCAAATTCAAGGTAAGCGGCTTCGGAGGGGGGAAGAAGGGGAGTATACGAGGGTCAGATGTGTGAAGGACTTGATGACAGGCAGGAGGCATCTAGAGGCGGCGTCAGATTAGTAGTGATGGCGGCAGTGACGAATGTTAAGGTGGAAAGTCTCGGAAAGTAGCCAATACAGAGCAACAGGTTTCAGCGAACGAATGGTTCTCTCTTGGCTGTAGTCACTTCCTCTGCGCTCTGCCACGTCCATACACCTCCGTCCAGTCTCACTCACCTTTTAACCCTTGATCACGCAACTTCTGAATTTTCTCGCTTCCTTCTCTTCGCTTCGAGGATCGAACACAAAACCACCCGCTCTACGGTCCTTAGCGCAGCACTCCCATGTTCGCGATCCCTTGGGCCTTATCCGCGTCGGGCCATCTTAGTGCGTTTTCCTCACCAGCCAACATCCAGTCGCCCGTATGGATGCTCCTAGGTCATCCTCCCCTCTTCCGTCCATCGTGTTGTCCGCGCCTCCCTCGTTCTGTCCGTTACTAACATTCATCACCTCGTCCTGCCCTTTTTCCTTCTGCCAGGCGAACATCCGTCTATCTCACGACTGTGACTGACTCTGCTTGCATGGCATGGCGTTTCGCGGCTCCACTCTCGCCGTGCCCCTGAGCATGGCCTCAGACATGGAATCAGCACCTGGTTCTTCCGCCGCCCTTCGCGGCCACCTGGCAGACATGGGATTCAGGGAAGCGGAAAGCATAGTGGGAGGTAGATCGGGCACGGGGGGGGAAGGGCGGGATCAGCAGTCAGCGATGGTACTGGCAGCGGTGGCGGAGTCGATAGAGATGCTGCGCACGGCGGGGAGCGACGCGGACGAGAAGGAGCGCGTGGCCATGCAGCTCAGCCAGCTGGCGGAGACCAGCGTCGACGCGCGCGCGGCCATCGGCTACCACGCGCAAGCCATTCCGCTGCTCGTGGGGCTCGTGCGCTCGGGCACGCTGCCCGCGCGCACGCATGCGGCGGCGACTCTGGGGGCGATCTGCGACGAGCAGGAGCTGCGCGTGAAGGTGCTGCTGGGCGGGTGCATTCCGCCCATGCTGGCGCTGCTGCGCAACGGCCCCAAGGACTCGCAGATGGTGGCGGCGGAAGCGCTCTTCGCCATGTCCAAGGCGGGTTCGGGTCGCGACGCCGTGGGCTCGCGGATCTTCGCGTCGGAGGGCGTGGTGCCGGCGCTGCTGCAGCAGCTGCAGAAGCACGCGGGCATCCACCCGGACGTGCTGGGGCTTGTCACGGGCGCCATGCGCAACCTGTGCTACGCGGTGCCGGGCTTCTGGCGCACGGTGGAGGCGGCGGGCGGCGTGGAGATCTTCACGAGCATGCTGTCCATGGGGCGCCCCGCCACGCAGGAGAACGCCGCCGCGCTGCTCACCAGCTTCCTCACCAGCCCCTACCTCGCGCACCCCAATGCGGCCGCCGCGGCCGCGCAGCAGCAGGCCAAGGGCAAGACTCCCGCGGCTACAGTGGCGGCAGCAGCGGCGGCGGCGGCGGCGGCAGCCATGGAGGGCGGGGAAGGGCTGGAGGAGGCGGCAAAGGCGGCGGCTAGAGTGGTGGAGGCCGGCGCCATTCCGCCGCTCCTCGCGCTGCTGCAGCCGGGTCGGGAGGTGGCGGTCAGGACCGAGGCGGCTGGGGCGCTGCGAGCAATCTCAGCCGTGCACGTGGCGGCGCGGGAGAAGATCGCGGCGGCGGGGGGAGTGGGCATGTTGATCCGCGCGACGATGGCCCCCTCGGCGGAGATGATGCAGACGGGGTACGCGCAGGTGCTGCAGGAGAACGCCATGGGCGCGCTCGCCAACATCGCGGGGGGCAAGGCGGAGGTCGTCGCGTCGCTGGCGGCGGCGGTGAGCAGCGCACACTCGGACCGCGAGCTGGCGGACAACATCGGCGCGCTGGCATACGCGCTGATGGTGCTGGAGGAGGACGACGAGGAGGGCGCGGCGGAGGACGGCGAGGGCGGGGGCGGCAGCAAGGTGGACGCGGAGGGCATCGAGCGCGCGCTGGTGGAGAAGCTGAGCCCGCTGCGGCCGGCGTCGGCGCTGGTGCAGGAGCGGTCGATCGAGGCGCTGGCGAGTCTTTACGGCAACGGCGTGGTGGCGCGCGGGCTGAGCAACGCGGAGGGCAAGCGCATGCTGGTGGGGCTGGTGACGCTGTCGCCGGGCGACGCGCAGGCGGAACTGGTGGAGGCGCTGTTCAACGTGTGCGTGCAGGGCGCGGACCTGTGGAGCGCGCTGCACGGGCGCGAGGGCGTGCTGCAGCTGGTGGGGCTGCTGGGGCTGTCGACGGAGGACCAGCAGGAGTGCGCGTGCGCGCTGCTTGCCATCCTCAGCCACGAGGAGGACGAGAGCAAGTGGGCCATCACCGCCGCCGGAGGCATTCCCCCCTTAGTGTCGCTCCTGGGGACAGGCACGGCCAAGGCCAAGGAGGACGCGGCGGAGCTGCTGGGTAACCTATGTTCTTATAACGAGGATATTCGCGCGTGCGTGGAGACGGCGGACGCGGCCCCCGCGCTGTTGCATCTGCTGGGCAGCGGGACGGAGAGGGCCCAAGCGGCGGCGGCGCGCGCTCTTATGCGGCTGGTGTCGGGCGGGAGCAGCGGCGCGAGCGGCGCGATCGGGCAGCTGACGGGCATTCTGGTGGCGGAGGTGCCGGAGTCCAAGGTGCACGTGCTGCGCGTGCTGGGCCAGCTGCTCGCCGACTCGCCCGACGCCGCGGACGACGGCAGCGCGGCCAACGAGGCGCTTCAGACGCTCGTCGCGCTCGTCGAGTCGGAGCGCGAGGAGACGCAGGAGAGCGCGGCGGCGGTGCTGGCGAATCTGTTTGCTGCGCGGGAGGATCTGCGCGAGGGGCCGGTGGCGGCGGAGGCGATACCCCCGCTGGTGCGGCTGGTGGAGGACGGCGGCGAGCCCGTGGCCATGCAGGCGGCGCGCGCGCTGGCGGCGCTCTTCTGCTCCATCGACAGCAACGAGGAGGCGGCGCACGCGGCGAGGGCGAGCATCTTTCCGCTGGTGAAGCTGGCGCGCGCGCGCGAGATGGCGGTGGCGGAGGTGGCGACCACTGCGCTCGCCAACCTGCTGGCCAACCCCGAGCTGGCTCTGCTGGCTCCGGCGGACGAGGTGGTGCTGCCGCTCTCGCGCCTGCTGCGCGAGGGCACGCCGCACGGTAAGGAGCACGCGGCGGGTGCGCTGGCGCACCTGCTGCACTCGCGGCCGCTGGACGAGGAGCTGGCGGAGAGCATCCGCCAGTGCAGCACGGTGCTCGCGCTCGTCGCGCTGCTCGCCGTCGGCGCCAGCGAGGACGCGTCCATGGCGGCGCTGGAGGCGCTGGCGGCTCTGGCGCGCGCCAAGGCGCAGAATTGGGGTGGGCAGGCGCCGCTGGCGGTGCTGTCGGAGGTGCCGTACTCGATGGGCCCGCTGGTGGCGGTGCTGGCGGGGGGCTCGGCGGGCATGCAGGAGAAGGCGGTGGAGGTGCTGTCGCGCCTGTGCAAGGACCAGCCCGTCACGCTGGGCGACATGATCGCCGCCACCGACAACTGCGTCGCCGCGCTCACCGCGCGAATCACGGAGGCGGAGAGTCTGGAGGTGAAGGTGGGCGGCACGGCGCTGCTGATCTGCGCGGCGAAGGAGCACCGCGCGGCGACCATGGCGGCCATGGAGGCGGCGGGCACGCTGCAGCCCGTCGTGCGGTGCCTCGTGGACATGCTGGCGGCGCAGCAGCAGTCGCCCGACCAGCAGCAGCAGCAGCTGGAGGAGGGCGACGGTGAGGCCTCGGCGGAGGCGTTGGTGAGCAGCGTGGCGCTGTGGCTGCTCGCCGTCATGGCGAGCCACGATCACCCCACGCGCGCGCTTGTCGCGGCGGCGGGGGCGGTGGAGGTGCTGGTGGATCGCCTCTCGGCGCTGTCGGCAGAGGGGGAGGGGGCGGACGACGCCGGGATGGACGGTGGGGACGGCACGCAGGCGGGGGACAGCGGGGGGGCGTGGGTGTGCGCGTTGCTGCTGGCGGTGCTGTTCTGCAATCGCGACGTGGTGCGCTCGCCCGTGGCGCTGAGGGCTATCCCTCCCCTCGCCTCGCTGCTCACCTCGCCCGACCCCTCGCAGCGCTACTTCGCCGCGCAGGCCGTCGCGTCGCTCGTGGCGAGCGGCAGTCGCGGCACGCTGCTCGCCATCGCCAACAGCGGCGCCATCCCGCTGCTCCTCGCGCTGCTAGGGCGCGCGGAGGCGGACGTGGCGCACCTGCGCGCGCTGGCGGACGACTTTGAACTGGCGGGCAGTCCGGAGCAGGCGGCGCTGGAGAAGCTGTTCCGCTGCGACGACATCCGCGCGGGCCGCCACGGCAGCGTGGTGGTGCCGCAGCTGATCGCGCTGCTGACGCCCAACGCCGACCAGCCCAGCGCGCCCGCCGTCGCCATCGGGCTGCTCACGCAGCTGGCGGGCGGCAGCAGCGCGAACCGCGTGGCCATGGCGGACTACCGCATCCTGGAGGCGCTCACCACGTACCTCACGCTCGGCCCCCAGGTGAGGCTCGCACCGCTGGTGAGGCTGGCACCTCTGGTGAGAGACGAGCGGCCACTCTCGTACTGCTCCCTCATTTCCTGCTCTCATCCGCTTTCTCTTGGCTGCTCCACCGCATCACCATGCCATCCCTGCCTGGCCCACCAATACTCAATCACTGTGCCCACTCACCCGCCACCCCTGCCACCACATCCACGCCTTCACCCACTCAACCCTCCATGTCCGTCCGTCTCCCAACCCCCCCTTCCCTCCGCTTTCCCCCCCCAGGAGGCGATGGAGGAGGCGGCGGTGGAGCTGCTGCGGGTGCTCTTCCAGGCGGACGACCTGCGCCTGCACGCCGCGGCGCCCGCCGCCATGGACCAGCTTGTCGCCGTGCTCAGAGTGGGGTCCAGAGGGGCGCGCCTGCCGGCCGCGGCGGCGCTGGAGGCGCTGTTCGCCGTGGACGCCCACCGCGGCAGCGACGCCGCGCTGCACGCGCTGCACCCGCTCGTCGACATGCTGGGCAGTGGGGGGGCCGCCGCTGCTGGCGCTGCCAGTGGGGCTGCTGGCAGCGGGGCAGTGGAGGGCGAGCAGCGGGCGGCAGCGGCAGCGCTGTGCCAGCTGGCACAGGGCAATGTGGGTCGGGTGCTGCAGGCGTGTGAGGAGGGGGGCATTCCGCTCATGGCCACCATACAGCGACTGCTGGAGGCCCCAGACCAGCCGCCCGCTGGCGGCGGCAGCAGCTACGACAAGGGGGGGCGGAGGTGAAGGCGGCGGTGGTGGAGCTGCTGCAGATCCTCTTCACCTTCCCGCGCGCGCGCTCCGGCCCCGTCGCCGCCGCGCTCATCCCGCCGCTCGTCGTGCTGCTGCTGCACCCGTCGCCCACGCTGCAGTACCGCGCGGCGGGCGCTGTGGACGCCGTGATGGAGGACGAGCACCAGGCGGACGTGGTGGCGGGGTGCAGCGCCGTGGCGCCGCTCGTCAGCCTGCTGGAGGGCGACCGCCATGGGCTGCATGCAGCGGCCAGCAGTGCGCTCTTCAAGCTGGCGAGGGACCGGCGGCAGTGCAAGCTGGACATGGCGGGCGCAGGGGTCATCGAGCGCATCATTGCCATCTTCCCTTCGGCGCCCATCGCGCTGTGCTCGCTGTTCGCCGAGCTGCTGCGCGTACTCACCAACAACTCCACCGTCGCCAAGGGCGCCGCTGCTGCACGCCTCGTGGGCCCCGTGTTCGCCATGCTGCGCCAGGCGGAGCTGTCCCCCGCTGCACAGACCAGTGCGCTGCAGGCGCTGGTGAACGTGCTGGAGAAGCCTGGGCGCCTGGAGGCCCTGGAGCTGGCCCCGTGCGACGCCATGGAGCCGCTGGTGCCACTGCTGCTGTCGCCCTCGCTGGTGGTGGCGCAACTGGCGGCGGGGCTGCTGGCGCACGTGCTGTCGCTGGAGGCCTTCCAGAGCGATGGCATCACGGCCGCTGCAGCAGCGCCGCTGGTGCGGCTGCTGGGCAGCGAGCTGGAGTCGCTGCGCACGGAGGCGCTCAAGGCACTGGAGCTCGTGTCCGCGTGCTGGCCGGGCGCCATCGTGGAGGCGGGCGGCATCGACGAGCTCTCAAGGCTCGTGGCCACGGCACCGCACCCCATGTGGCAGATGGCGGCGACGGTGCTGGCCAACGTGCTGCGCGCGCACGACAAGTGTGCGGCGCAAGTGCCTGTGCCCGTGCTGGTGCGCCTGCTCATGGCCAACACCGAGCCCGTGCAGGTGGTGGCGCTCTCCGCCCTGCTGGCGTTGGAGCGCGAGGACCCGTCGCGCGGGGACGAGATGGCGCGCATGGGTGTGGTGGACGCGCTGCTGGAGCTGCTGCGCTGCCACCAGGTGGAGGAGGCGGCGGCGCGCCTGCTGGAGGCCATCTTCAACAACGCGCGCGTGCGCGACTCGCAGACGGCGCTGCGCTCCATTGCGCCGCTGGCATCGTACCTGCTGGACCCCAACTCCCTCGACCCCAACGCCAAGCTGCTGGCGGCGCTGGCGCTGGGCGACCTCTTCCAGGAGACCAGCGTGGCGCTCAAAACCGTGGACCTCACGGGCGCGTGCCGCGCGCTGGTGGCGCTGATGGCGGAGCGGGCGAGCGAGGACCTGGTGATGGTGGCGCTGTGCGGGCTGCAGAATCTGGTGGCCAGCTCCCGGTCCAACAAGCGCGCCGTGGCGGACGCGGGCGGCTTCGCGGTGCTGGTGGAGCTGCTGACGGGCGGGTCGGCGGAGGTGATGTCGCAGGCGGCGAACCTGGTGCGGCTGATGCTGAACAACCACACGGTGCAGGAGTACGCGACGCCGGAGCTGGTGTCGGCCATGACGGGCGTGGTGGAGCGCGAGCTGTGGAAGACGGCCAGCGTGAACGAGGAGGTGCTGCAGGCCATCGAGGGGCTGCTCGCCACCTTCTCGCGCCTGCGCTTCAGCGAGTGCGCCACGGCCGCCATCCCGGTGCTGGTGGGCGCCATGAAGGTGGGCAGCGAGGTGGCGCAGGAGACGGCGCTGAACGTGCTGTGGCTGCTGCGGCAGGGGTGGGCGCAGAGCAAGGAGATGGCGCGCCTGCAGTCCATCGCCATGGGCGACACCATCCCCGTGCTGCAGCTCATGCTGCGCTCAGGGCCCATCAACCTCTACGAGAAGGCCGAGACGCTGCTCTCCGTGCTGCCCGGCAGCCTGTCGGTGTGCGTGAAGCGCGGGGCGAACCTCAAGGCGTCCATGGGCGCCACCAACGCGTACTGCAAGGTCACTCTGGGGGACACGCCCGCCAAAGTCACCAAGGTGAACAGATGGGAGGGAGAATGGAGTGGCGCTGGGAGGGGGCAGGGATGAAGGGTGGTGGTTGAGCATGGGGGATATGGGCAAGCGATGGCTGCTTCTACAGGCAATGACAGCAGACTGAGCCGATGAGCAGATGTTCTTGCTCCTTGCTCTTCCACCTTTGGATGTACCATCTTACCTTGTTTGCTCTCATTGTGTGTGTGTGCCATGTATTGCCATGTGTCCATGCCATTTGGGTGTTGTGTCCTTCTGATATGTATGGAATGGTGTACGTCGCTTGTTGGCATGGCATGGCATGGCACGTGAGTCCAGGTGGTGAGCGCCACGAGTGACCCCGAGTGGAAGCAGACATTCACGTGGCCGCTGGACGCCCCTCCTCGAGGCCAGAACCTCCACATCTCGTGCAAGAACAAGGGCACTATTGGCACGGTGAGTCAAGACAGCAGCATGCAATGGTCAACAAACGGGGTGCTGGCTTCCCACGTGTGCCCCACTGCTTGAGGTCATGCCATGCTCAGTGCATTACTCTTGAGGTCATGCCATGCTCAGTGCATTACTCTTGAGGTCATGCCATGCTCAGTGCATTACTCTTGAGGTCATGCCATGCTCAGTGCATTACTCTTGAGGTCATGCCATGCTCAGTGCATTACTCTTGAGGTCATGCCATGCTCAGTGCATTACTCTCGAGGTCATGCCATGCTCAGTGCATTACTCTTGAGGTCATGCCATGCTCAGTGCATTACTCTTGAGGTCATGCCATGCTCAGTGTATTACTCTTGAGGTCATGCCATGCTCAGTGTATTACTCTTGAAGCTGCCTTATGCCCACGGCTCTACTGTCCTTCCTCGCCCTTGCCTGTGTCTGTGTGCAGAGCTCCCTGGGCAAGGCGACGATTCAGATCGACCGGGTGGTGGCGCTGGGAATGGTGTCGGGGACGTACGTGCTGCAGCCAGAGGGCAACCGGGACGGCACCCAGCGCACCATCGAGGTCGACTTCATGTGGTCCAACCGCTGATAAACTTCCATCCACCTGCTGATGATGGTGGACCTCATATGGTCCAATCATTGATCGCCTGGGGTGCGCTTGAGCAGCACATGCTCTCAGTGCACCATGGCCCATCTTCTACTGTGGTCACGTGTCCTGCTCGCCCTATTGCGGGGAATCTTCCTCAAGGAACACACCCCGCACTGAGTCACAGCCACTCCTCTTTGCACTGCCACAAATGGCTCGCTGGTTCCAAAAACACTACTCTGGCTGGATGGAGGCAGCTCCCACTCATGCACGTTGCTCCGTGGCGCTATACTGCCATGCATGCCACACTAGCTGCTGCCATAAGGGCTCAGCTTGAACTACCATCAACAGCATCAGCCATGTGACTCCTGCTGCCACACCCTATACCCAGCCTGCTTGCCTTGCAGTCCAAGCAATTGGGGGCTCCAAGCTTCAGATCATAAGACACTGCAGTCTAGCTAGTAGTGTCTACTGTAGGCACCCTTTAGGGCTAGCATGTGTGGTGTACATACTGCACATGAAAGAGCCGTCAGTGGATAGCATCAGCCACTAGTCAAGATTCCATGAACACCCCTCTCCACTGCGTCCTTGCCTCCTGTTAGCCGTGAAAGTGAGCCCCATGCGGAACTGTTGAAATTCGGAGAACTGGATTGTCATGCCATGTGGCTTCACATAGATTGCACAAAGCATATGCAATGCAGGCATCTTGCGAAATATTCGCACTTGCTAAGACATGCATCCATTAGTGCTACAGTAGATGGATCCAACTAAACAACGCAGCACTACTGGATGTGTGAGAGGTGGAGAGGAGACGCCTCATGCCATGTCAGGCACCCATGGGCGCAGTTGGAAAGAGTAAAACCATCACCTGCAACGAGCATGGGATGCCGAAAACAAAGTGCCAAGTGAAAACAATCTGATGCATGCAGCCATAGTGAGACGAGACACAGGAGCAACACATGTTCGGCCAAACACGCATGAAAACAGCGACATTGGGGGCAGAAGGCACTGAATTAGGATGGTTGGACGAACGTAAGGCAGCCTGACCTGGCCCACTTGAATCAGCATGCATGCGAGTGTGATGGACATCGCCAAGGGCGCTCTCGCAGCCCACCTGCACATCCTGCACTGTGGTGAATGCGAGCAGCCCACCTGCAGTGTGGTGAATGCGAGCAGCCCACCTGCACTGTGGTGAATGCGAGCAGTGGGGAAGCCACCCCCCCTCCGTGCACGAGGCCATCGCCGCCCACCATGGTGGCACTCAGCCCGCCCATGCGACTGCCGGCATCCGAGGGGTCGTCCGGCACGTAGGAGCCCGACAGGGATAGCAGATCAAACGGGCCCTGCAGAGAACGAGGCAGGTGAGAACGATAATAAATTGTCATTTCCCTCAAAAGACCCCCCCTCCCCCTCGACCCCCAGCCCCATCCCATCCGCAACCCCCCCTTTCCCACCCGCCCCAACCTCTCCACAGACTACCCACCTCCTTCTGAACCCTCTCCAGCCCCTCCTTCCTCTTTCCCCCCTCCCCCCCCCCCTTCTCTCTCAACCCTTCGCCAAACCCCTTCTCCCTCACCCCCTCACTCCTTCTTAATCCTCTCCCAACACACGCATACAACCCGACATAAACACACAAGCACACATGAACACACAGGGTGCATGCACCTGCACAAAATGCACGATACCAGCTGTGGTTGAGGGAAGCGAAGTGCACGCACAACACACACCACACATGAGTTGGCCTGGTGTTTGCCCCTCTCTCACTCACCCCATGGATTGCACTCCTCTCACCCACCCCGTGCCTCGTGCTCCCTCTCACCCACCCCGTGCCTCGTGCTCCCTCTCACCCACCCCGTGCCTCGTGCTCCTTCTCACCCACCCCGTGCCTCGTGCTCCCTCTCACCCACCCCGTGCCTCGTGCTCCCTCTCACCCACCCCGTGCCTCGTGCTCCCTCTCACCCACCCCGTGCCTCGTGCTCCCTCTCACCCACCCCGTGCCTCGTGCTCCCTCTCATCCACCCCGTACCTCGTGCTCCCTCTCACCCACCCCGTGCCTCGTGCTCCCTCTCACCCACCCCGTGCCTCGTGCTCCCTCTCACCCACCCCGTGCCTCGTGCTCCCTCTCACCCACCCCGTGCCTCGTGCTCCCTCTCACCCACCCCGTGCCTCGTGCTCCCTCTCACCCACCCCGTGCCTCGTGCTCCCTCTCACCCACCCCGTGCCTCGTGCTCCCTCTCACCCACCCCGTGCCTCGTGCTCCCTCTCACCCACCCCGTGCCTCGTGCTCCCTCTCACCCACCCCGTGCCTCGTGCTCCCTCTCACCCACCCCGTGCCTCGTGCTCCCTCTCACCCACCCCGTGCCTCGTGCTCCCTCTCACCCACCCCGTGCCTCGTGCTCCCTCTCACCCACCCCGTGCCTCGTGCTCCCTCTCACCCACCCCGTGCCTCGTGCTCCCTCTCACCCACCCCGTGCCTCGTGCTCCCGCTCACCCACCCCGTGCCTCGTGCTCCCTCTCACCCACCCCGTGCCTCGTGCTCCCTCTCACCCACCCCGTGCCTCGTGCTCCCTCTCACCCACCCCGTGCCTCGTGCTCCCTCTCACCCACCCCGTGCCTCGTGCTCCCTCTCACCCACCCCGTGCCTCGTGCTCCCTCTCACCCACCCCGTGCCTCGTGCTCCCTCTCACCCACCCCGTGCCTCGTGCTCCCTCTCACCCACCCCGTGCCTCGTGCTCCCTCTCACCCACCCCGTACCTCGTGCTCCCTCTCACCCACCCCGTACCTCGTGCTCCCTCTCACCTACCACGTACCGCACCTCGTGCTCCCCGTCACCCATCCTGTACTGCACCTCATGTTCCCCTCACCCACTTCGTGATTGGTGCTGGTGAAGGCGTCGCCCGGCCCTGTGAGCGTGGGCGAGTGCACGGACCCGTTGGCTGACAGCACGCACACCGCCTTGCCCTCCTCGCGCGACAGCAGGAACACCCGCGCCGCTATGTCCTGCACCCAGTCCCGGGGATGGCACGCCAGGGGCGAAACAAGGGAACGAAGCAAGCCAGCCGCACATGTGGTGGAATACTTTGCTTCCATGCCCAGCCTCTTCCATGTCCAGCCTCTTCCATGCCCAGCCTCTTCCATGTCCAGCCTCTTCCATGCCCAGCCTCTTTCATGCCCAGCCTCTTTCATGCCCAGCCTCTTTCATGCCCAGCCTCTTTCATGCCCAGCCTCTTTCATGCCCAGCCTCTGCCCAGCCTCTTCCATGCCCAGCCTCTTCCATGCCCAGCCTCTTTCATGCCCAGCCTCTTTCATGCCCAGCCTCTTTCATGCCCAGCCTCTTCCATGCCCAGCCTCTTTCATGCCCAGCCTCTTTCATGCCCAGCCTCTTCCATGCCCAGCCTCTTCCATGCCCAGCCTCTTTGCGGACCTCCGTCCTATCTATGGTGGGAATACTCGTTGTCCTGCAGGCACAAATAAACCAGGTACCCTTGACATTTCAGAGTGGAAATAAGGTGGTGAAAAATGGAGAGGGAGTTACAGAGACAATAGATTCCCTAACGAAGTAATTTTAACAGCTACTTTTGGAGTGAGTTTTCATGCCACGCATCAGCCCCCACCTCTCATACCTCGCCACGTGGAACCAGGAGGACTCTTGGCTCGAGCGCTGCAAACAAGGCGCAGCGGAGAGGGCACGGAGCAGGGAGCGGGAACAGCCATGAGGGGGTTGGTCCGGGGAATGACCGAGCGCGAGGTCGCGCCCAGACTAAAAAGGTTAAAGAGAAGCAACGCCGGTCGAAAGGGCACTAGCGCTCTAGCGATTGGCGCGCGGAGACACCAGGAAGGGCAGAAAGGGGGAGGACAGACGCACAACTAGGGAGGGCAGGCGACTCGCTCTTTTTCCTCTTGCTGCCCAACGGCCGTCCCGGCTTTCTCCCAGCCACACTCAGGTTTTTAGGCGGCCGTCCCGGCTTTCTCTTTGGTAAACTCGCGTCCTTAGGCGGCCGTCCCGGCTTTCTTTTCGGTAACGTCGAGTCTTTAGGCGGCCGTCCTGGTTGCCGCTTTGGCGGGCTCGGGTCGGCAGGTGACCGCTCGCCCTGCAGCTCGTGCGATCGCGAGACCTTGGGCGGCCGCCCGCGCTTCCGCTTCGGAAGCGCGGGGTCCTTGGGCGGGTGTTTTCGGGGCCGGCCTCGCGGCCGCTTCAAGGCAGGGGCGGGTTGCGATTCCGCTGGTCGTGAAAGCAACTCGGCGTGAGGCTGCGACATGCGGTCGATTTAATTCCAAGGAGGCCTCACTGCGGTAGAGCGTAGGCGACAGCACCGTGAAGTGAGCTCGTGCAGTCCACGCGATGCTTTCCACCACCTCAGCTGCACTATTAGCCCTCTAGGACCCGACCAAGGCTGCGTTCAGCAGGCAATTCTGGAAGCTTCCAAGTCGCGTTCAGAAGGTTCCGCAACAGCGCTTTTTTGGTCCGGAACTTGGGTCAGCCCGCAAAAACGTGCCAAACCAACCTTGAGCTGTCCGAACCTAGAAGAGTAGCGTTGCTTGCGGAACGCACCCACCTCAACGCGGAGGTTGAGTTCACGAAGGTCGAGGGGCAGATTCGTCCCCGGGCAACTGTGCACTCTGCCGCACCTCCAAGTGGACTCCGCCAAATCGCAGGGGGACGCGGTGGAGTCGGGGTACTAGGGTGAACCACAACCCCACCCTGCAAAATACCTACAGCTGGACAACACCTCCCACAAAACCAAGATGCGCATGCCCAGAAAGAAAACAAACCTCTCACGGCTTCAGCTCCTCAAAGCACCACGCACTCCCCTCACAACCACCAGAGCACCCTAGTGGTTGGTGTTCGACGCTTTTTACCCTTTTTGTTTTTGAATGGCAAGGGGAAGTTGTTCATCAAGCGTTTTTGTTTCTATTGTTGCCCTTGTCGAAATCACTTGCGCGCTTTCCCCACTTGGCCTGCGTAGCTTTACGTTGTGGTTTGGGAAGGCCCAAAGTGGGCTGGGTGGTTACCATTTCATGCGAAATAACATGGGCTACTTCCTGAACTCCATCTCTGCCATCTACTCCACTGCCTGCAGAACCCAGCCCATGTGTACAATGCTAGGTACCCAGTTACGCTGGCGAATTTTGAAGGGTCTCGTGTCAGAATAGTGAGGAAAAGCGACTAAGGGCGTGTCCCAACCCACATATTCTGTATGCAGTGGTGTACGGTGACACGCGGTGGGAGATGGTATTTCGACATCACCGATCTGAACCTCTAATTATCGTGTTGCACCTGTACAAAGTATATGCGGGACGTACTATTGGGACACGTCCTAAGGTAAATATCGATGGGGAAACAAGAGTGGGATTGTACCCCCTAAGAACTGACCTGGTTATGCTATACAAAATAGAATCTAACTAATATATGTATATTTGTTTGACACACCCCCTAGCCTACATAGTGGCAGTTTATAACAAAATAGAGCAAACCAATGCAACAAATCTAGTCAGGCCTTTGGTGGATGTAGCAAAGCAACTCAGGGCAGTACTATTAATCTGACCACTGAGACAAGGGCCACAAGGCCAGTCAGCAAGTGTAGCAAGGCAGGCAGGTATAATACAAGCCGGTATAGCATAGATCAGGATACAAGGA